GGCTGTGTGGTTTCTCTGGAGGGAAGGAGTGGCTGCTTCACACATTCACACAAGGTTAGCAGCCATATGTGGGGAAGCAGCACCAAGTCGCAGAACTGTGTTTCACTGGAAAGCAGAGTTCAAAGACGGCAAGGACTGTGCACAAAAAGGCAAAAGCAGTGGGCAACAGCATACACACCAGAGAGTACCCAGAGCATGTCCTACTTGATACGGGAGAACAGTGGCCTCACTTTCGATGAACTAAAGAAAGCAACAGGTTTTCTCATGCGGAACACTGCACATCATCATCCATCAGGGCTTGAAGATGAAAAAGGTCTGTGCTCAATGGGTGCCCCATCTCTCAACATCAAAGAAGCAGAAGAATGTGGAGACATGCCAACAGTTGCTGCAGCTGTATAGCGCAGATCCGGCGGAGTTTTTTGAGTGTCTAGTCACCATCAACAGTCATGGTTCTGGCACAAGACTCCAGAAAAGAAATGCCAGTCCATGGAGTGGAAGCATGCTGGGAGCCCCCCTCCCAAGAAGTCATGACTGGGAATATTCGTCTGGAAGCAAGTGGCAACTGGGTTCTGGGATCAGGACGGGATCCTTCTGTTGGACTGACTGACCCCCAATATGACCATCGATAGTGATCGGTACTGCAATTCACTGTGCCAACTCCACTGACGCATTCAGCAATGCCACCACAGAAAATGGAGGCGTGGAATTTTCCTGCCGTATCAATTTCCATAATGTTCCAGTAACCTCTCCCTGCAAATCTTACATATTTCTTCAAATCTTCAAGTGCCAGTGAATACATTGTAATGTGGATGGCTAGAGCATTGCTATGTAACAGACCAGTAAACACTCCACAACTAAATACACACAAGACAACAATGGAAGATGTGTCCCAGTGGAGGAGTGTTACTGAGTGCTGCTAGGTAACAGAATACCAATGACAACACTGGCTATGAAACATATGATTTCTTCTCTGTGTGGTCTTCCCTATGCAACAAATTGAATTGAGTTTTCTGTGCATGGTACATGCAGAGGCTATATAACAAGGCTTACAAAATAACACATGCCAGTTCAATTCAGTTCAGCAGTCATAAGATGGACGATTCAAGGATTTGTAAGGAAGACGTCATTAAAGACAGTTCAATACTTCATATGTTAACCTTGAGTGTTATAATTGTTTGTGTGTCACGGATACAGCAAGCATGAAAGTGTAATAACAAAGTGTAGTTATGATGTGTGAAATTATCCAATAAGTCAAGTTATCAAATCCAGAACTCATTATTTACTGTTGCATTACCAGGATACATTTGACAATATTTTCAGACTTTTGTGCATTTCTTCAAGGCAGTTTATTTAGCAGAACTGAATAGTAGTTGGCATCATCTGGTATGATTACCGACTATTTTGCTAGATACTCAAACACTTGAAAATTAATTTCTGAATGACAAGCAGAATGTATGTTTTTGGTTCAGACTGAAACATTAGTTAGAAACATAACTCTTTCGTATGTTTTAGTTCATTTAATTGAATTATATTAGTGTGAAATGTTGATGTGGACATAGACACATATTCCAGAAAATCTGTGTTGTATGGGGATTAAGTTTACAGCTCTTCACTGTCATATGCAATCTTTGCTAGAGGCTTTAGAAAATATTTTAATTCCTTCCCCTGTCACGCCCTGACTTCTGAGGGTTGTGACACTGTAACATTACACGGAAGCTACAAAATGTCAAACCAAGTTCATCATCTGAAGTACTGGGTATTGGCATTAGGTGGGGGGGGCTTCTGCCCAACCTAAGCACTCAGACCACTACTGGGCCCATTGTCCGCCTGACATCAGCAGTGCCCTTCGAAGTAACTTGTCCTCAATGCTCAAGCGTGAACCTGTTTGAATGAGAGCCTGCTACTAATATCAGCTCCACCCATGCAGAGCCAATAGTCATTGTTTCATGCCCAGCCAAAGCTGCATCTGAAGTGAGGACATAACCTGCTGTGTATGAGTAGTTACTGCTGCCGTAGTTTCCACAAATCACTGTTCTCTTAAAAGCATAACCTCCCCCCCCCCATAAAGTGTTCTTCATGACTGAAATATTCTGTAGCTTCTTTAAACATTGTGCTGTGATGATATATGTAGAAGCGTCAAAAAACAGAGACATCAAAACATTTTGTACTTTAGAATATGAAAAAGCAACAGAAGACCTAAAAGATGCAGAAAATGTAACAGAATTACATGGGTAATATATTATATTATATATCAAGCTGAAAGGAGACAGAAAAATCAGTATGTAACATGAAAACAATACTGGCCTAACATTCACATGCAAATGAACAGAGCTGACATCCGTAGCTGGGGGTTTGTGTCAGATTCCAAGTTTTTAAGTCATAATGATCAAAACTTTATTCTGATAGTGTGGAAGGCTTGCAATTTCTTCACTAAACATACATAATTAGTCTTTGTAACTTCATTTTCATGATCCTCTCACAAGAAATCTTCTTACACAATTTGCACACCACCAATTGAATTCAAGAGATGAATGGCTCGCTCTGCCTCCACAATCCCAGTGTTCCTGATGGAAATGATGGTGCCACACCAATATTTCAATAATGTGTGAATATACTAACTGGTCACACAGAGTTGAACTAAGCACAGCAACAGCAACTATACAAAGAGCTTTTAATGTTGGAAACGTTATTATACAAGGGAGCAAATGGAATGAAACCATTTAGTCACAGAAAATGTAACAATTTTCTTTAACTAACAGAATATGTAATACTTTGTAATTATTGGTACCTTTGCTGCTAAGTAACAAAAGTTATATTGTTGACCTCATTACCATGGAAATGGGCGCAGTGAAGCACGTAATAAATCTGGACATATTGCAAGTGAAATATGTTAATGAATGCAAGCTATACGATTAATTCATATCCACTATTTAGTGGATGACACAATTATAGGCAAGCTGGCAGCATATGATGTCACACACTAATAAGATGTCCACTGGAATAAAGCTGTAGTATCTGGGTAACATGACAAGTAATTAACAGATTCTCTGGATTGATGAAATTTATCTGCTGATTTGTAACACTCTAAGATTACTGTTAACTCATCATCATCATCATCATCATCATCAGTAATCTGTCTCTTCCAAAACAATTCCTCCACTTAATGCGATCTAGAGCTTTCTCCTTCAAATGACAGTATCCTCTTCTCTCCCCAAGGTCATCCAGCATCTTCTTACGTCTTCTTCCTCGTCTTCTTGTCACTTCTATCCGCCCATCTATCTTTCCTTCGATAACTTCTTTTAGAAGGCAGTTTCTGCGTAAAACATGACCAATCCAATTAGCCTTCCGTTTTCTTATTTCGTGTAGGATATTCCTCTGCTCACTGACTCTAATTAACACTTCTTCATTTCTCACATAATCGGTCCAACTGATCTTCTCCATTCTTCTCCAACACCACATTTCGAAACTTTCCAGATGTTTCTGATCTACTGCCCTAAGTGTCCATGTTTCAGCCCCATACAGAGCTATGCTCCAAATGTAGCATTTCACTAGTTTCTTCCTCAAATTTAAGTCCAATTTGCTGGTAAAAAGATTCTTCTTCTTGCTAAATGCAGCTTTTGCCATGGCAATCCTGGATTTAATTTCACTAGTACACCTTCCATCATCTGTTAACAAGCTACCCAAATATTTAAAACATTTCACATTCTCCAGTTGTTTTTGGTCTATCTTTATTGTGACTGGGGTTGGTTGTCTCAAAATTTTCATTACTTTTGTTTTTTCCACATTCATTTCCATGCCATAGCACCTTCCAATTTCAATTAGTCTATCAATCATGCCCTGTAGCACAGTTTCTTCCTTAGCCATTAACACAAGGTCATCTGCATATTTCACAGTTTGAATAATTTGCCCTCCTACTTTGAAGTCTCCGAGCCCATCCAGAGCTTCCTTGGTAAGGCATTCGCTGTACAAGTTGAACTGTTAACTACAGCACACAAAATAACGTCTTCAATGTCTGATTGCTAGCTGCTGCTCAGTAACAAATCTTACCTGGTTAACACTTCACAGCTGAATATTCAATTACTGAACTGCATCCTGAATTCTATTACAAAAGAATGACTTGAATTCATGAATTAAGCTTCTTTTTTTTTAAGTCTGGGAGAACCTAAAATAAGCCACAACATCAAACAGTGTGTCTATTGGTCTCCTGTATCCGTCATAGAAGAAATGCCTGCTAATCACAAGAGTCCTCATATCCATGAAAACCACTGCTGAATCTGTTGACATGAGAATGAGTTTTAGCGAGCTGTTGCCTAGCAAACAGACTTCTGCTTCTTCATTATTATTTCGGGTTTCAGGCAGTGTTTACCAAAATGTTGCCTAGCAAACGATGGTTGGTGCTTTTGATACACACCCCCTGTACAAACATTAAAACACCGAGATCAATCCAACATTTTTAAATGTGGATAATGTGCCCAAAGATACTTACGAATTGGATGAAATCAACCAACATTTTCAACATTAATTCTGAGAATCAAGGTTCCCAAATCATTTTTTAAATCTAATAGTTATTTTCAGTCTGAATTTCATCAGTGTTACACCAAATTTCTGTAACATGACACTGTAACAACTGAGCCAGAAATTATGCTATCAATATTTCCTCTACATGAGACAAGTAACAATGTTTATGGTTATTAAAAGTTGGACGGTATTCAGTATATTTTTATTCCATCTTATATGTGTTGTGGGTCTCTCTGCAATTTGGAAAACTAAAATGTTTCCTTATGTTTACGAAAAATTACAAATCTGTTTTACAATTATCACTGTACACTATTTAAGAAAGATTTTGATTAATTTTCATGATGAAATTTCATAACCCTTTACCTTCACATACTGTTATTAAGCAGAGTGAAATGTGTATACAGCTTCAGAAAAAAGTTCACAAGTAACACTAGGAGTAGTCAGGACAGCATTGGAACATTCACAGTACATCTGATACTTACATCCTGTCATCAACTTTTATTCGTCTTACTGCTTCAAGGCAATATGTCATCAATGGGCTTCTTATAAATGTATCCTTCCTGAAATATCCAGAAGGTGCTTGTTTTCTTAGTTTTGGTAGTTTTGTTACCTGTTCTACGAGGTGTCTTATATCACTGGGTTCTTGCTCCATTTTAATGCTATATGTATCTGGAAAACATCAAATTCTAATTAAAACTGAAAATAATAAACAATTTTAAATGTCATACAAAAATGTAATATGTAAAACCATGAGTAATGAAATTTTAGATCTCAGCCTCAACAACAGTAAGCCCATATGTTTCACAACAGAATTTAAAAGATTAGTAGCTTTATGATTACATAATATTATGGGGCCACTTCACTCATTAACCATCATGCTATATACAATGCCGGCATATAATACATGTATGGTGCTTAGCTAAGGGTAAAAAGTGTGGTCATTGACTCCAGTAGCTCATTTCTGTCAGTGCTCTCCTTCCAAAATAGCAGATATCAGCTGAATCATAAAGGTACATAAAATCCTGCTATAAGCTGTTCTGAAGATTTTTATATGGTTTCTCCAGGTATGTAACTGATGGAATTAAGTCAGATGACCACTCTCAGCCCCATACTTCCAACTTTACCATTCAATTTCATCCTAACATCCACTAACAGATGTTTCGCATTAACAGATATTTCACAATGTTAGCAGCTGATAAATTCCTATTATGTATGCTGTAAAGTCTATCACCCATCGAACAGATACTGTGGCATGTAGATCCATTGCTACACAACAACCATGAAATAAGTAGCTATACAACAGCCACAGCTAGATAACAGCTCTGTAAACAATCACCATTACTAGCTAATGGCCACAATAAATTCATAACATGCAACAATGGAGTAATTGGGAAGTTATGTTCTCCAAGTGGTCTGTGCAATAGCTATGTGATACAAGAGAAGAACTGTTGACAGAGGTGTTTTCTCTGCAGTCCATGCCGAAGTGTTCTAAGCAAGATAAGCCTAGAGTTTAGTTAGTTGTAAGACAGTCGCCAGCCAGTAAGGATGTCAACATGGAAGCTGAGGAAGCTATGGCATTGGAAGCCATTACCAGGCAACAACCAGTGAAGATATGGCACACTGAAAAGACTCAGTGAGTGCTATAGATTACTGTAGAGTGTATTAGCAATAGCACTATAATTACTTGTAGTAATGATATGTAAATGTTTAATAAATCCAACTACCAATTCAAAACTTGTCTATAGTCACTCACACATGTGACAATACTTTATTCTTTCAGTTTCAGTTAAATCCCTAAATGCCAAATGAAATTAATTTCAGATTTTTGTAGGACGCGTGTTAAAATCCGAAGTCACTTCTGACACCAGTTTGTCACGTATTGGGTGTATAACGCGACAAATAAGTTCACGCCGTTCTTTGCTATAGCGAGTTTATTACGTTCGCTCGCCTTACACACACTTTACAAACATTTACACTTGCAGTGTTAGAATCACTGCTTACAATATTCGGCGAGACACTGGACTCTCTTCTCTGTCGGTTGTTCCACGACTGATCCCTTAGACGGCTATTCCAAGACTTCCTTCTCCGAAGGCTGATCCGAGACTAACTACTTCGAATGCATTCAACCCCGCTATATAACCTCGGTCGCTGTTATGCAACGAACCCTCTGTTATAACCATGGAGACTCCTGTTAGAACTACAATGAAGCAATTGTTGTCTCCTCTGTAACGGTCTATTCTAGAGTTTCCATAGCAGTGACTCTTCTGGATTGCAAACACGTTACAATACTTTTCATTAGTGTGGGGGAATTATCCTTGCGTGTAGACTTCTGCCTGAATGAAAGTGAATATGAAATTCAAAAATTGGGTTTGCCCATCTTTAAGACAGCATAACATAGTACTAATTCAGAAGGGAAACATATCAAGGTGAACAGAAAGACACTCTCTAAACCAATGAAATACGTAGGTAAGTCAATAAGTAAGTTACAAATGGATATAGATCTTAAAAAAATAAGAGTACTGATTTGAACAATGCTTTTATTTCTCAACATAATCTCCCTGTACAGTGAGGCACTTGTCCCATCGTTTCACAAGCCCCTGAAAACCAGCAGCATAAAATTCTTTGAGCTGCTGTCGGAACCAGGCAGGGACTGGGATCATGAAGGCATACTGTTCACCGCATTCCAGCCTCAAAGACAAACCGTAAATGTCGACTCCTACAGTAACATCCTCAGGAAACTTTGTAGGGCCATTCAACGGAAGCAACCAGGACTCCTCACCAAATGTGTGTTGCTCTTGCGTGACAATGTGCCTCCCCATACTGCCAACATGATAAATGAGACGCTGTGAAATTTCAAGTGGGAAGTCCTCAAGCATCCTCTGTATAGCCTCGACCTTGCTCCAAGTGACAAGAATTTTATGCTGCTGGTTTTCATGGGCTTGTGAAATGATGGAACAAGTGCCTCAATGTACAGGGTGATTATGTTGAGAAATAAAAGCATTTTTCAAATCAGTACTCTTAGTTGTTTAAGTTCTATATCCATTTGTAACTCACTTATTGACTTACTCTCATACTTTCTATATGGACACTGCACAGTATCTACATGAAATGGTAATATGATCCACTGTTTACAAAGGAAAAAGGATTTTGTTCCTGTTGAGAAAAATATGATGAAGATATAATATTCTGGGATGTAACACTGTGTAGTCCAGTAGAAGTCCACCAAAATTTTGGACTTCTACTGGACTATATGCCACTGCAATCCAGAAGACAGTACTCTTTATAGCAACTGCTGAAATAACCTCAAATCCAACAAAAACAGTTGTGTTCAGTGCTAAGCAGGCTGATACAGGTAAACAAGAATCTGTATGTGTGCACAGAACTGACAAAATTATGTGGCCAAAATATACAAATTAGAATATAGAAAACTGTAATTTTCCTTGTGGTTCTGTATTGGCATCAAACTTGGTCTCTGACATTAAGGGAGGAACACAGACTCTGGGTGTTTGAGAACAGGGTGCTGAGGAGAATATTTGGACCCAAGAGAGATGAAGTGACATGAGGTTGAAGAAAAATGAATGAGGAGCTTCATAACTTGTACTCTTTGCCAAACATAATTAGAATAATCAAGTCAAGGAGGATGGGATGGGCATGTAGCACAAATGGAGATGAGGAATGCATATAGGATATTAGTGAGAAAGCCAGAAGGAAAGAGGTCACTAGGAAGACCAAGACATAGGTGATTGGATGATAGTAAAATGGATCTTAGAGATATAGGATGGGGTGGTGTGGACTGGATCAATCTGGCTCTGGATAGGGCCCAGTGGAGGGTTCTTGTGAACATGGTAATGAACCTTCAGGTTCCATAAAATGTTGGGAAGTTCTTGAGTAGCTGCACAACTGACAGCTTCTCAAGAAGGGCTCAGCTCCATAAATTGTGTTATGGAGAAGATCATGGGTGATTATAGCATATTATTCTCAAACCCTGAAAAGATCATTTGAAATACCTAAGTCTAGATGGAAGATAATATTAAAATGGGTCTTCGAGAACTAGGTTATGACCAGGGCCCGGATTTTGATGACCTGAAAATATTTAAAAAAAAGACCTATAAAATGACCGAAAAATCGAGTAAAATTACCTAAAATATGACCCAAAAATGTAATATGCAGGGGCTGGATTTTGATGAAATGAAAATATTCAAAAACTGACCTATGAAATGACCGAAAAAATCCAGAAAAATTACCTAAAGGGGAAAAGAGAGAACACTTCGTTTCCATGTCATTCACATTTCAGAAAACATATGAAGAAAAATTCCCTAAAATGGCCAAAAATGACAAGATATACCCTTAAAAGTCCAAAAAAAATACCCCCAAAATGAAAAAACGACCTTTAACCTAAAAATGTCAAAAGATGACTTGTCATCAAAATCCGAGCCCTGGTTATGACAATGTGGTCTGGTTCAAATGACTCAAGATGCTGAGAAGTGGTACGTGAAAACATGGTACTGTACCTGTGGTGTCCATAAAAAGTTCGGAATTTTTTAATTAGCTGAGTTACTACTAGATTCTCAAGACGGATTTTACTCATTGATTTTAGATGCCTCAAAAGTTGTTGGTCTTCCTGATACAGTAAACACATATGAAGACACAACCGTTATTAAGTTCGAAACATTTCTAAGAATTTTTCCAAAGCTTATCTACAACAAGAATTTATAGATTAAAATAACTGCTTTTTCAATTAAATGTGATTCCTACCATGCAACATCTGAATTTCGAAATATATTGCCCTGTTTGTATGTTAAAACTGAACTCAAAAACAGATCGACCAGAATCTCTGATTTTTAAATAACAATTTAAATATCTTTGTACATCTGCCTTCGCCGATCGCCCGTGATAGTGAAGATATATTTCAAAAGCAGAATTACAGCAGTTAATATTTACCTTTTCATTTGTTGTACGGCTAGTTATTCAACTACCCATGTCCCTTTTTATTTTGCATACTCCTTAATTGGTTCCTTAAAACAACAAAATACTGGTACGACTGAGATCGACCGGGATTTCCACCATCACAAAGTTACGTTGCTATGGCAATCTTAGTTCCTCTCAGGATGGCCAATTCAACTTCCCTAACACTAAACGGGAGATAAACGTCTACAATTATAAACTTAATCCTTCTAAAATACGTTTTCAGAATAAAGGAAAGCCAACGAAAATTTGAAATAAGTTTCAATAATCAGAGGATAACTTCAGACATAAATACGTACTAAAACCAACTGCTCTCTGTGTAGTGTACATAAGATTTCCAAAGACTTTTATCTTGTGGAATCAAGATATCATGATTTCTGTAAGTTATTTTGCTCAGTTAATGTATCGGATTCTTCTTCGGAATCCTAATACAACATGGTACTCGTAAATTATTTCATTCTTATGACGAATCTCCCAACTTTAGACAACAAAAATGCACAGTTGCATTATCACAAATTTGGCGATGTCACCGTATTGGTTGTAAAATATCCCGTTACCAGATCAGAAATAAGATTTGTGTTCGAACTTTACGGAAAAAGAAAGGAAGAAAATAAAAGCAATCGAAAAAATGTATTCATTTTGCATTTTCCGGAGGAAGCATGAATGATCCTATTCGACTTGTCTGTTATCTATACGCAACGTCGTTGAGAGAAAGCCATGAGAGTTTGTTCTAGTATTTACACTATCAAACAAACATCGGATCGTCGTTATATTCTACGACATATCTAAACGTTTCTGTGGATATAAACAATATAATAATGAACCTATTACGTTAATGTCATATTTCATATTATATTTCATTTATTCACCTTCCATAAATCCTGTCGAGAGTACATTCTCGTGCGGATGTGGCGATCGTCCTTGTTACAGTCACAACTAACGATTACAGTTGTCATCCAACAGCATGCACATTTGTATAAAATACTGATAAACACGTACAATATAATAAATAAGTCAATTTTAGTAGTAAAAGCAATGGCAAAGCTTATATAAATTGTACAGTTTTATGCAAGTCTATTAATTAAAAATTCAACAGTTAAAACATAATGTCATTAATGAGTTTTGTATAACATACATTAATTATATAATAAATTGAAATAAAGACTAGTATACAGTAATATAAAAATTAATGAAGACATCGTGAAACAGGAAGAAGCGTGGATGCATTTTATTTGCTTGATTAAAAACTGAAGTGGAATATTTTGCTCTGTATAGAGAATCACTGGATGACAAGACTAGCTTCATCGCTACTTCCAACTAACGAAGTCAATTAGTCTTTTATTAATGAAAATTCAAGATATCCTGAATAGAGAGAACACTTCACTTTGGTGATTATAATGCCTGTATGAAAATTTAGTAGTAATAACGTTTGAAAGTATATAAGAACAAACGGTTGCTGACGTTTCACCTGAACCACCTGAACCAGAAATGGATAGGAAAGGAAGAGTGTGATTTCCTGAAGAAACTGATGGTGAATTTTCAAAGTGTAATTCATTCAGATTTGACTGGCCACCAACGTCTGACTGGGTAAAATCAGTGCCGGATTTACATATGTGCTAAAATAAGCTACAGCTTCGGGGCCCTATATACCGGGGTGGGGGGGGGACGCCCATGATAAAGCACGTCACTCTTGTAAATCTCTGAAGGCAACTAATGTCTGACGTCTTTTCATCAGATTCGAATAACAAAAACAACTCGCGCAGGAACGGCTTCAACAATCAAAAACATACTGGGGGGATGGCAACGCTCCCTGTGGTGCGTTTGCTTGAGCAGTTCCACATGAACGGTGATGCATTTCATTCAAAGGTTTTTTAAATAAATAAAAGGACCCCCTTTTCGTCATAGTTAAGGCTTTGGGAAATCGTAATTTGTAATGATGATGAACCCTAAAGAGGATAACTTTTCATAATTTTTCCCCCTTCAAGCTGCGAAATTATAACGATATTTTCCCCTTATTTCTTGAAAGATAGGCAATGAGGGTGATGCTTCATACAGGCTATAAGCGAAAGCCAGGGCTAGATTTAGGGAGACGCAACCGGGGTACGCACAAAGCAGAAACAGAATCCATAGATTTCATTGAGACACTTGATCTCTAAAGTCAAGCAGAGCTACTTCGTATTTTTAACTAGTGTAAGAAATAAGTAAAAATTGTCGTTTCTTCTTTTGGCTTATTTTGGACTTCACCCATCGTCTGGTATATAAAAGACAAAAAAAAAACACACGACGTTTCGGAGACTGGATCTATCTCCGTCTTCAGGTGGATAAGGAAGAATAAACCTACTCAGTTGGGCCCCTTAGAAAGAGCTACTCTCATTCACTGGACAAACCCCGATCTGTAGAAAAACAACCTATGAACAACCGATAACCGGTTCCATCAGTGGGAGGAAAGAATAAAATCACAGTAAAAACATGATAGAAAATTTGTGCCAAACATGCACTTGTCAACAATGTAAAGAAACGGAAGTATGGGTTACATTCCATGAATTCAGTTAAAAACGAAAGTAAAGACTGGATAATGCATGCCTAATCTGCTTGGATAAAGAATCGTGCCATCATGGCGACTTCCGGGAATCAGACTAATCCCCGGAAGAAAACTTGCAGGAGTAGTGGAACCACTAATATTCATAAAATTACATTTTTGATTTGTTAACCTCTTCATTGATAAGGGGGATCCATATGGGAGAAATATCCAAACTGGGTTGGCTGATCGGATTGGATGAACATGCCATATGAGCTGATTCTTTGTATTTCCTGTATCTGCTATTGCTTTCGACCTCCAAGATCCTAGCTTCATCCCAGCTTACCCTGTGACCTTCTTCATATGCATGCTGAGCCAACCTGGATTTCTCTAGAAGACCCTGCTTGAGATTGTGCTTGTGTTCACGGATTCGAACAGCCAGTGGTCTGCCTGTTTCACCAATGTAGCTTCTGCCACATTGACAGGGAATGCTANTTACATTGTTGACAAGTGCATGTTTGGCACAAATTTTCTATCATGTTTTTACTGCGATTTTATTCTTTCCTCCCACTGATGGAACCGGTTGTCGGTTGTTCATAGGTTGTTTTTCTACAGAACGGGGTTTGTCCAGTGATTGAGAATAGCTCTTTCTAAGGGGCCCAACTGAGTAGGTTTATTCTTCACTATCCACCTGAAGACGGAGACAGATCCAGTCTCCGAAACGTCTTGTTTTTTTTTTTTTTCTTTTATATACCAGACGGTGGGTGAAGTCCAAAATAAGCCAAAAGAAGTACAGTATATACCATCGTCAGAATCCTTTCAAGTCCAAAAATTGTCATGTTCTAAATTTGTTATAACTGATGAGGACCTCGTGTTTTGGTTGTCCCCAACCCCCCTTAACTTTAAAACCTGTCCATCTGAAAGCAATTACTGTGAGTTTTTATTAGCTCTTAAAAAAAGCAATTGGCTTATCCAGGCAATATATCATAGTGTGGCGTAATGCGATACTACATGAATATGTACAATGTAATTGTGGAATATAAATATATTTTACAAACCACTTTCTAGTAGTAAAAAGGTTAAAGGTAAAGCTATCTTGTAACAGGCCATGGAGACCCACAGGGATATGAGACGTCGAGGCTCCCACATTTTCTAGATAATCGGCTCACAGATGGCGGTGAGGTTGTCAGCCTTACACGCTGGCCGCTTTAATCCCCAGGAAGATATCTGGTACTTATTTCTGTGAGAGGCTGAGTTGACTCCAGGGCCATAGTGCTGCTGGAAGGATTAGTTCAAGTGAAAAGTACAATGTCCTCATCGGGAATCAAACCCGCGACCTTCCGGCTTGTAGCATAGTGCAACTA